CAAATTTTTGATCACAAAAGAGAAGACCTTTCTAAGAAATAGAAAATGTCAAGAACTCATAAAACTTGACAAATTAAAACAAACACAAACTTTTTATATCATATAAAAGAACTTTCAAACAAAGACTCTTACAAACTTGACTCTTACAAACTTGACTCAAACATGACACCCTAAACTTGGTTTCCAAAAGAAGAAGGATACAGGTGGGGTGGTACTTGCGGAGAGACAAAAGAGATTAGAAGCCATGACGAAGGTTGGAAAGAGCTCGCAATATTTCCATAGAAGTAGAAGAAGAAGTGGAATGAAGCTCTCAAACTTTTTCCAAGGAAAACCTCTCAGGTTTTGTCCCAAAAATTATCATCATAACCTCTCACTAAAACAGCCACAAACAACACTATTTATAGGCACAAAAAGGGCAGCCAAACAGCCCAACTATTAGGGAATATGGAAGGTTAAAAGACACCTAGAAGAAGGCTAAAAGACACCCAAAAACTGCAGTAGAAAACTGCACATAAAACAGTAAAAAACTCTTGGAATTCCTCCACAAACAGCCACCAAATAAGTCCCAAAAACTGTCCAAATTATGTCAAAAAAACAGCCCCAAAATCTCTTCATATACTCAAATAAATGAGGGAATGAAAGGCCAACATTCCTTTTACTGAAATCCCAAACGACACAGCAAAAAACAGAGGAGGCCACGGTTACAACAGGTAAGTCACGGATCCCAGCAGCCAAGCACAGGGACCAAACAGCCTCAATTAATTTCAGTAAAAGGGGGACCACAGGGTAGTAATTCTGGAGCAAACCGAGGGATCAAAGCCAGCAGAAATCGTAGCAATCCAAGAGGCAACAGGAAGAGGAAAAGGCAAGTGAAATTACAGAGAAATGAGAAGAATAAGGGGGGGGGGAAAGGAGAAAAGCCAAGATTAAGAAATAATGAGCTAATTTTTAGTTGAATAAATGAACTAAAAATCAGCTCATAATGAGCTAATTTTCCACTTGACATTAATGAGCTAGAGAAGTCAAAAATCAAATATTAAGATTTGATTTGACCCCCCTTGCCTACATCACTATGTATTCAAATCCTATTGGCTGGAAGCCCTTCTGACTGCTACATATCTCATAAACCGGTCACCTTCAAAAAACTTGGGTCTAAAAATATCAATAGATATCATGCCTTCTTTTTATCTTGAATCCCAAACCAATGACAATGTCACGCCTAGAATCTTTGAGTGCACTGCCTATGTTCACATTCACAACCAAAATATACAAGAATTAGGTCCAATAACACTCAAATGTATCTTATTCAGATATTCATCTACCTACAAAGGTTATAAGTATTATCACCCTACAACCAAGATAACTTTTATATCCATTGACGTCACTTTTGACGAACAAAAATCTATTTCACCAAACCTTATTTTCAGGGGGAGAACTGAGCAATATGAGGAAAGTGAGCTTGCCCCACTTGATCGTCCCGCTTCACCTCAAACCGATCCACCTAAACTGAAACTAAAGCTAGAGAAATTGTGGACAAAACTATTATGGATAACGTCATGTTTGAAAATGTATATTCCAGACGTACAAATCCAAACTATACTCTAGAACATATCCAATAATTTGAATCGTGTCTCGAAATTGAGGTAAATATAAGTTCACCTAAAAAACCTTCCATGTACCATATAATTAACTTTGTATTCTTCCATAAATTCTCACCTTCACACAAGAATTTCTTATTTAAACTAAATGAATTTCATATTCCTAATAATATTTTTCGAGGATTTATCTGATGAGAATTGAAAAAGTGCCATGAACCTACTAGTAGGAAAAGACCAGTCAGCTGCAAATGGGTGTTATCTGTAAAATACAAAGTCAATGGTACACTAGAAAGGTATAAGGCAAGACTGATACCGAAATAGTACACTCAGACGTATAAGGTATAAGGTATTGACTACTAGGAAACTTTTGCACCTATGGCTAAGATGAGCATAATAAGGATCCTGCTCTCACTAGCAGCTAATTATAACTGGCATTTAGAACAATTGGATGTTAAAAATGAATTCCTACATGGGGACTTGGAGGAAGAAATATTCATGGAGATTCCACCATAATTCAATGA